CCGGGGCCGTAGGGGACTGGCCCCGGCCGGCCCCCGCGCCCGGGGACGCCGGCCCCGCGCTGCCCGGCCGCTCAGCCCGGCAGCAGGTAGCAGACTGGGAAGCGCAGTGCTGCCTCTTAACCGCAGGGGTTTAGTGTTTAGTTTCTGGATCTTGTCTTCAAGTAGGTTGTTCTTACGGGTGTGAATGCGGCATGTTCTTGAAGCGGATTGTTTTTTCTCTTAAGCAGTTGAGAGTGTGTATGGAAATGTCGTGTGAGGCATACTGGCCTAAAATGGAAGGTTGAGTGTCTTTGACTTTGCAGGCCTCCTCTGCTGTTAGGTAGGACTTGCAGTGCCACAGCTCAGGGATTTAGCCTGGTTACACGGTGCTTTTGTTCTAGTATGCATACATTTCTCGTTCCTGTTGAACAGGAATTGCAACACTTGAAGCCTTCTGAATTTCTAAAGGACAGGTGTCTGAGTTGTCTGGGGTATTCTAGGCATCCTCTTGGAACTAGTAACCCATCTAAACATATGCCTCGCTCGGGTTTAGAGTCTGAGGTATGATGGTCAGGTCCTGCGGTAGGAAAGAGTGACATCTAAAGAAACTGCTATCAAGTCCCATGGTTCTGTTGGTGGAACACAGAGCTATGCCATGTGGTGTTTTGTTGTAATCCCCGTTTCTTCACAGGGAACCATGCAGTCCCCTGAACCTGCTCAAGAGTGTTTGTATTTGCCTCTCTGATTTGGAACATGCTCTCAAATTTACAAGCTGAGATTTCACACTTTAAGAGATTTAGATCAGATTTCTTGGATCAAGAAATTCTGAGTGTAAGAAAGCATTGCATTTACTGAAATATACCTTTTTCTCATGCAACAAGAGCAGTATTAACAATGCAAAAACTGAAATACAAATTTCCTTGTGGAACCGTACTGTTATTGCCTGATTCCTTGAAGTGGAGGGATATCTAACTTGCTTGTATTGGAGTATGAAAATGTCTGAGAAGGGCTGATGGGGAAAATCTAGAGCTTTTAATTACAAGTAGCTGTGGTGTGTAGTGTACTCAGTTGAAGGTCTTGAGCAAATGGCCTTAGTTTATTCTGAGGACTGCATGATTATAATGAATTTCAAAGGCAACTTCTAAATTTGGTAGATGCTGCTTTATAACTACAAAGCAGTTTGGAAGTAGATCTTCAGTCCTTGAGAAGCAAACCCCTAAGTAGCCTTTTTGCTTCAAGGGCAAGTAAAAGGTTGGTGTACATGGAAAACAAAACCAGTAACTCAAAATGGAAAGAAAGACAACTTTGAAATGGTTATTTTGTTAACTCTTCTGTTTCTTGAGTAATGCCTCTGTAGCTGACTCTTCTACCTCCACTAGAAATGAATACATGAGATGTTTTGGAGGAGATGGAAATGGGTTATACCTTCTCTGTCCTGGGTGTGTTGATCTCCGGTGGGGAAGAGCAAACGTTTGCTCTTTCTTCCCCTCCAAGAAAACAACACTTTAACTGAGGTGAGCAGTAGAAGATAGTGGTAGGTTTTTGTGGTTTGTTTTTCTAAATCTTGGTAATACAGTTGATTGAAATGGATAGACTCAAAAAGGCTAATGGCACATTTTTTCAATGTGCGACAGAGAAGGAGAGATTCTGGCCCAAGGAGATAGATTGCTTGATAAATTTGACTTCTGGTAGTCTGATGAATAGACTGCCTGTCACATCCTACCTCCCTGCTGTGCTAAATTACAAGTTCAGATATGTTAAATATAACCAGTGGTAAGTCTGTAGAAATCCTCACAAATAAGAGGGGAGATGGTTTGTACACGGGTAAATGGTTTTGTGTGGGAGTTTACAATGTCGTGTGGCTCAAGGAAGCACTGCTGTACAGTATTGACCTTTACAGGCAGTAGGCTGAACCCTGGCTGCAGATGGAGGGGCTTGCATTTCTGCAGATCCTGCCTGACTCCTGAAACAAGGACACTTGATAACACAAGGCTTCTGCTCTCTCTTGCTGCCTTTCGTGTTGGGAGTTACTAATTTACAGATTGTAAAATAGAGTAGTAAACTACTGCTTTTTGGTTAGGATTTGAATCTTGGTAGTACTGGTAGTTTGTCCAAAACTAACTGAAACCAGCTTGCATGGTGTTAAAGAGATTTAGAGGAGAAATGGTTTTTGTTTTTGTAGTTGAACTGTTTAAGGCTTATAGCAGAAGTGCATGATGTCCTCTTTGCAGAAAAGGACTTTGATTTCTTGTATGAATTACTGTTCTTAATCCCAGAACTCTTAAACTTTTTAGTTTGATGCCTTGTTTCAGAAACTTGGCCTCTGGAGCTGGGTCACATTAATAGCCTGGTGAGGATGGATTAGTTTTCTAGGAAAGCTAGAAGAAAATGCTTACTATCACTGACTGAGGAAATACAGGGATACTATAATACCTGAGGTCAAGAGGTTGCTTGGTTTGTCATAATCTTTCTTGTGATGCTGCTGTTGGGAGGTCACTCAGTGAACCAGTTGCTTCTTGTAAGTGCTTAGTGATCTGCCCAGTCTCATAGCATTAAGGGTAATGCCTTTTTTTTAATGTTTACATTCAGAAGGATGTTTTATGTAGTGTGATGCAGTGTGGCTTAGTGTGCCTGATCCAGGTTGCCTTCTGCTAGACTTCAGGTGATAGAAGTATGAGTAGGAAACTTATTCTTGCAGATCCACAGGTGAGTGCTTGAAGCATACTGGGTTTTCTGAATAATAACCTTTTTCCTGGGAGGAACAGAATGTATAAGTTGGTATGATCTACTCAAGCTGTTTAATGCCACAAGGAGGCTGCTGGTTTATAGCAATTTGCTTCTATAGGATGACTTTCATCTAAACTGTATTTGGACTGAGGTTAAATTAGCAGGGTAGTGCCATGATGTACTTGCAAATCAGAGTTGTAGGGATGCAATTCTAATGGATAGTAATTTAGGCTGCAGAATAGATATTTGTAAGCATCTTTTGTGGTCTTTGAAGATGAAAACCCAATAAGACTGTTTTAGTGACTTGTGTGTGTATAGGCGTGGATCGGAGGAAACTTAAATTGATCACTGTCTCAAAGGTTTTAGTGGGAGGTATTGGTTTTCCTTAATATACAGGGTTACCAAGTGCTGCTGGAGGACTGTAATTGCACAAAAGGCATTGAGCAGGTTCTTGTCATGTGGTTCAGTTCCTGAACTTGAATAGACTCCAGTGACCTCACTGGTGTGCACTCAGATTACTTGTTGGACACCAATAAGAGGCAAGAATCCAGCTGTTGTTCCATTTGATTTCAAGAGAATTGCAGCCAAACATCTGAAGACAGGGCTGTGACTTTCCTTGCAGATGGCAAGCAGAGCCTCAACACATTAGTGTTGGATGTAGTTTTCTTTAAAGGTTGCAGCAAGCATCTTAACTTCAGTTGCAGCTTATGAAGTAAATCACCATGGGCGACTGATGAGGCTGAATCCAGCTTGTAGGCTGCTTCCCTCTGGTCCTGCCTTATCCCACATGTAGAAAGAGAAACTGAACCAGAAGAGGCAACCTGAACCACTGCATGATGCCCTGTGGTTGCTCAGAGCCAGACCAGACCAGGGGGATGCTGAAGGGGATTGGAGGTGGGGGTTAAATATTAAGGATCTGCTGGTTTCTCTCTGCATGGCATGGGTTTCTCACTAACAGCTTTTTAGTTCCTCCGTCTTTACTATTGCAGGCAAGTGAATCTGTCAGTGTTTTAAAAGGAGAGCTTATAGCTCTGAAGCCTGGTTGGGCCATCTAGGTGATTCTGGATAAGATGAGATATTTAGTTTTTTTAATTTGGTGAGGGGTGGGTGGAAGAAGAGGGCAAAGTAATGGATTAGTTCAACAGTATTTTATTTCTTCAGGAAAGTCCTTTGTAGCTAAGGAGAGCCTGTCATGTCATACATGACGTGCCAGGCTGTACCATAGGAGAGATCTTGCTGTTGTATTCATGTTATACAAGGATTAAAGTGAGGATCCTCCTTCAGGTCTCAATTACCTATGCTCCTTTGCTGTATCTTGAGGGTGATTTTGGTTTCCTTGCTGGTTACAGTTTGGCTCTGTCATGGGTGGTTGAAGACCTCAGTGAAGTTTACTGCCTTGACTGCCAGGGCAGGGGGAGAAAATCCTGGAAGAACTTACATGCAGTGTTTGGAATTGCTTGCTTAAGGTGTGGTATTACAACATTCCATCCCTTTACCCATCTGTGCTGTCTTATTTCCTTCTGGGAGCTAATGGTTATCTGGTCATCCAGACAAGAGTTGATCTAACTGAAGGCTAGCACCAGAACTAACCCAGGAAAAGGGTGTTCGCCAGGTCACCTCCCTAACCAGGCTGCAAAACCAGATGAGTCCCTGGCCAGTGTGAAGAGGGTTGTGGGAGCATGTATCTGGGACAGGTTGGACTGACTCAAATTTAAGCTGATTGCAAATGCACTCTGAGATTAGGATTATGTATTTTATTCAGACAAAAGGATTTATCTTGTTAATAGCCAAAGCTATTTGTTGCATCCTCTTTTATACTCAGTAAAGGAGCTAGAACATGATTCTGCACTTGCTCTTTCAAGGGATGAGTGGAGAAAGACAAGTAAAACAGAGATCTGTGGGAGCTGTGCAGTGTAATCTGTAACAGTAAAAAACCAACAAACTGCAGTGTTAAGTAGCTGTCAGGATAACTCAGAGGTATATGGGTGGCTGATTCCCTGTTCCAGCATATCATAGTGAAAACATCTTAGTGCCATATTGCTCATAATAAGAGATAGGCAACTTGTCTTGTACGTTTCTCATGCCTGCAAGAGGCTGTAGAAATAACACATTCACTTTTACACCATGTGGTGGACCTGCCTTCATGGCAGGCCACTGCAATTCTAGTGTGCTGTTTGTCTTAATATTAGGATAGAGAGGAAGAGAGGCCATTGTTTCTTGGGGTTGTTTTCTTTGCAATACAGAAGCTGACGGCTGCTCTCCTGTTCTCTTCTGTTGCACTCGAATGATGTCTGCTATGGATAGACAATAGGCAGACTGCTGCCTGCTGTAAATAGCCCATTGTATGCTGAGAGTAGGAGCAGGAGCAGCAAAGAACGGAGGAGTCCTGCCAACTTGGGTCATTGCCTTGAGATACTGGCTCTGCTGTAAAGAATGAATCTTGGGTGCTGTGGGATGTGTGTGTGTGTGTGAGCAGGGAGAGCTGGCTTTGTCTGAGCATACAGAACTCCTTAACTGAATTGATAGCATGAGTTCAGAGGGATGCTTTCATGGGCTGGATTTTGGGAACTACTGTTTCTGTCTGTTGAGGTAGCAAGGACAGGTAGTTCTCTCTAAAGAGTTTTGCCCAGTTAATAAAACCACTTCCATATTTGTCTAGTAGTGTTTCTAAACCTACAAACCAACCAAGGTCTACTGGTTGTATTGAGGAAGAAGTCCTGCACTGTGGCAGAGTTTGAGTCCATTCCTTGCGGTCCAGATCCTGTCTGGGTGAGAAGCAATTCTAGGACCTGAGTTTGTCAAGAGAACATGGCTTTTGCTTATCTTGAGTAAGCAGATTTAGCTGGGTCCTTCCTTGAGGAAAAGCCAAATCCTGGCTCCATTGGGAAGATTTTTGTGTCTCAGTCTGAAGACTCTAAACTGCCCTCTTTGGTCACGGTAAAGACCCTGGATGTCTGATGTGATTGGAGCATGATAAATACAGAGATGGATCTAAGAAGACTGGGAGGCATTGAAGCACCCTTTCTTGATGGGGCATATTTGGATGTATATGTTAACGTGAATTTATTCTCCCTGTTGCATCTGGCTTTGTCTTAAATACAGAAAACAAGAGTTGGTATGACTTAGCAGGTAATGTTAAAGCTAGGAATTGCTTAGTCTTGCAGAAAACTCTGTATAATATGGGGTTTTGTGCTAATGAGGCAGAAGGTATAATAAAGTCATCCTTCAATATAAACGTAAGCAATAAATGTATCATCACGTAACTGATAACTTGTGTTATAACTGCTCAAGAAAGGTTTCATGTTACAGGCTGCTCTACAAACAATTGTTCAAGGAAGTGAAAAGTAGTGGTGTGCTTCTTTCTTTTCACCTAGGCTCAAATCATAGCAGCTCCTTGACTACAGTGGGACTCCTACGTGAATGAAATTATCATGTTTATTTCAGTTCTTATTAGATGTAATGGCACCCCAGCCTTTTGAAAGAGTAACTCTAATTGCATTCCTAAATCATATAGTGTGTGCAGATACACATAATGACTAATGCAGAGAGGAAAGCATGTATCTTGTTTTAAAGGTCAGAGGTGCTTACTGTGGGGCTTGAGGAGGAAAGAGCTAAGCTTGTTCTTAGCTCTTACACTCTAGCCCCTCTTTTTTTTTTTTTTTTTCTAGTTTCATAACATGGTGTCTATGATATACACAAAATACATATGAACTTGTAAGCCAAGACTTCCTTGTTGGAATGACTTTTTATTCTTACTGTTCATCTACGTATATTAAAAAATAAGAGGTAGTTCTTATGCCTGCAATGCTAATGAGCATGATTTGATGCGTAAAAAGCAACAGCATGCTAATCCTAACTATTGAGTCAGTAATAGACTAAGAGGTTCCTTGTTTCAGTTCTCTACCTTCCATTACTACCACTTGATGTGTTGCATATTTTGAGTATAGTCTTCTGTGTATCACAGTACAAATAACCAAAAGGCATTTCTGTAGTGGCCCTGCACTGTATATCTAGGTGATGTGGCCCTGTACCCTGAGGCTATGCTATAAAGGAATAGTGTGGGGAGAGGGCAGTGCCTGCAGGCTGGGAAGTGCTCCATGGATCTGGGACCTTTCCAGAGATGGAACTTGATTCCGTCCTGACACTGTCCCCATCCATGACCTTACTTCAGCCTGTCCTTCTGCTAACATTGTGAAACTATAGGCCCTTTGAACTATTTTTATGGCTTTTTTTCTCTCTAGCACATCCTTGTCCAAATACTGGTTAGACTTTCTGTGAACTGGACAACTCTTCTGGTTGCCTGGTTGAGTAACTGATTGCAGCAGTAAAGATTTCAAGGGCAGACTGTAAGCTAGAGATTTTCCTGTAGAAATGTGAAATTTTAGCCTAGTATAGTTGGTCTTGAAACTAGTAAGCATATAATTCTGCCTGTTTGGATTTTAGCATCTCCTGTGCTGCCATCCTGCAGTGGTCTGTTGTTACACAGTGTGTTCTAGTTATTTAAACACATATTTTGACATTCTTTAGGTCCTTTGTTTAATTTCATTGTCCATAGGAAATGGCCGGACTTAATTTATCTGAGCAAGTACATTTCGTCCCTTCAAGCAAGCAGGAAAGTTTTGCTTCCCCCGACCTGACCCCACCAGTGGCCACTGTGAGCCGTCCCTGGGTGGCAGAAGGCTGAGCTGGTGACAGGCGCCTGTGAGTGCTGCTGCCAGCCAGCAGGCAGGGTGGGTGGGCAGGCGCCCTTCAGCTGGTGGGCGGTGGGGTGACTGACTGGGTGCGGGTTGCCATTGGCCCTAGGCAGGCGGGCTGCCTGCCGCTTACCTCTCACCTAGTGGGCAGGAGCTGGTGGGTCTGGCATGTGACAAACGTCCCGGGAGACCTTGGCTGTAGAGGAGAGCACCAGCTGAGCTGACTGCAATCCCTTTTTTCCATGGCTTGTTCTTGCTGTGGAATGAATATCCATGACGGCGAGTGCTGGCAGGGAGCAGCCCCTTTCGGCTCTTCCTTCTGTGTGAACGTGACAAATCAAGTGTGCTTCCTGTGCTTGATTATATTGCTGTGTGCTGCTGCCTTGGGCCTCCTTAGATATTGCTTTAGTCTGCCTCATGATCAGAGGTGAATTGCTGGCATGGTGCTGGGTGAAATAGGAAGCTTGCTAGTGTAGAGGAGCTGTGGAAGGATACCAGCTTTGAAGGCAGCTTGCTGTAGTGAGCTTTCTGTGTGTGACTGGAGAGAAAGTAGAAAGAGGAAGAGTTTACTGGATTTAAGAGATGAAAAATCCTGCTCCTGCTATGCTACTATAGGATTAGGATGTTCTCTGTTACGTTAATGAAGGCAAGTTAACATTTTACAGCCCTCCCCTCCATCACCCAGACTTCCCTGTTTGTTACCTACTGTTTAAACAGATTTATAAAATAACTATTTTGCATTTGTGAAATGCTGTCCTTCAAAAAACCAAGTCAAAAGTTTTGTGAAAATGCAGTGTCTGTTAAAAGCAATATTAAAACCCTGAAGAAATAGCCTCCTCTCAGCCCTACCTGTTCTGGAGTATGAACCGGTAATTGCTTGCTTACTTAATTGCAGTACAGAACTCTAAAGGTATTGCCTGCTTAGTGGCAGATCAAATTATTTTGATAGCGGGAAGTCAGAAGGGCAAAGCATACATCCCTCGATCACAACAGTGAATGGAAAGAGGATTTAAAATCTTTGTGTGTAACTTTCTTTCATATTAACAGATTCCAGCATCGTGATAGCCACACTGAACTACAATGCAAGCACATGAGTTGTTTAGACACCTACGAATGCCAGAACTTGGGGATGTCAGACAGTATGTGCGCACTCTTCCGACAAATACGCTGATGGGCTTCGGTGCTTTCGCAGCTCTCACGACCTACTGGTATGCAACAAGACCGAAAGCACTAAAACCACCATGTGATTTAGCAATGCAGTCTGTGGAAGTAGAGGTGAGTGTTGCTTGATGGATGCTGCTGTTCATTGAATTTTGAAGCCTAAAGGTGGCGTTGAGAGAGATCAAGGGCTGATTTACCATAAGAGTGTTTCTAAACTTGTAGTTGGGGGTGGGGAGGGGGGAATACATTTCAGGGCATGTTTTGTTTTTTCTGAAATACGGCTTGAACCCAGCTTTTTGGCTTTCTGAATTTGAAAAGCAGTTTGAGGGTTGAGGTCATAGTGGTAATAACTAGCATGGGAGAAAAAGACTGTGCTGAGGAAACTGAGCTCCTGCGCTGACTGTTGGCAGGAAACTTATGTGTGTTAGAATTGGCACAGTGTAGTTTTCAATTCCTGGACATGTGTTTAGGTGATGTCTTGGGGACAGAGTATGTGTGCTGGTGTATAGACTAATACTTTTCTGTTATGATATTTAGTTTATAATAGCTGACAGATGAGATTTTATATTGTGTTACAAGCATGAAGATGGTACTAATTGTCCTCAAATGATCTGTGGAAAGATATATCAGTCCTGCTGAGAGATCCTAGCCATAGAGTAAGTTGAAATTAAAGCAACCACCTGCTAAACTCTGGATATGCTAACTTTGCTTTTGTCTTACGCTCTTTAGAGGCAGACAGAGTTGCTGTCAGGTGGTGGGTTTTTTTAATAGTGAAATCAAATATGGAAACAGTCTGACTGGTTGGAACTGTTGTTTAGAAGCGAACATAGACAACTGATTACATGGCTGGGCTTTCCTGAGCAGCAGTTACATCAATTCCCCTGTTCACTACAGAGTCAAGATCTTACTGCTTATTTAATTCTTTCAAGAGTGCCTCTTTCTTCAGGATAGACAAAGTGTTTCCTTCTTTTGAAGGAAGGAGATGGCTTTGAAAGGTAGTGATCTTTAAAGGAGATAATTAAAGAATGTAGTACTGTAAGGCTGACAGTTTATTGCATTATTCTTGAAAGTCAGAAACTACCACTACAGATTTTTTTAAAAAATATATACTTGCAACTGAAGTCTCCCTTTACAGCATGTTCTTCTGTGTGTGTAGACTCTTGTGGTCTAGTTGTCCTGTATTAGATGCAATTAACATGACTTCTTGTTGTAGAGCATGTGTGTAGATGTGACTACAAAGTGAGTAAACAAATGTGGCAGAGCAGTTTGAAATTTACAGTAGGTAAAGTGTCATGAACTTTAGCAAATCAAACTCCTGTTATAGCCTCAAATCAGGCACTTTCTTTGCAATGTTTCATGATACTGAGATTGAAGAATGAAGCATTAGTTGGCTTCTCCATTCAAAAGTTTAGTTAGTACCATTTATTTCCTTCTCCCCAGTATGGTATACAGTAAGCTTACTGACACGTCATGTTACTATAGCAAGTAATGGTCTGTTATTAAAAGTACACAAAGGGGAAACAAAAATATGCTTTGGTAATGTGATAATTGCCAAAAATACGAGGAGTGTGTGTAGAGTAAGGATCCAGAGGTTAGATCTTACTTCTCTCGATGAGCTTTCCCAATCTGGACTGCAGCCACTTAGCCGGTGGAATAGTCTTGTAGAGCATCATGTTTTAAACCAGCAGTGAAAGCTTTCCAGCTGTGGGTGGCCTCACTAGTCAGTATAGACTTCAGCAGATCTGGGGGGCTTTGCATTGGAAGATGATAAAACAGTGGTTCTTAACTGTCCATAAAACCAGTGACAAATGCTTATTTGCTTGAGACTTTTGGCAGTAGGCTCAGTTCACTGCCTTTACCTCTTAAAGCTAAATTGCTTGTCACAGCTGGATTCTGTATTTGCTCAACACAGCTGGCTTTCATTTGAAATAATTGTTTGGGAGTATGAGACTTCATTAAACTACTTAATGCATCATTGATCCATATTGTACCAATTAACATCAGCTGTCTGATCAGAGTAAGATGGGTATAACAGTATTATTTCTCATTGCCTCTTCAGAAAATACATATTGATAGGGAGAGTGACCAGTAGTAAAACTTAAATGAAAAACAGTTGAGTGTTAGCATGTCTTGGTGATAAGAGCTCAAACTCTGAGAATGTGTTGAAATGAATAAGATCTATGCAGTTTTGTTTACTGACAGTTCAGATGCATCCCCTAATGTTGTAAACTGTACCAAACTGTAATCAAATGAGAATATCTGTTTTGAAGTAAGCTTCAAGTGTCTGTTAGAATTGGTACTTTTATAACAGTAACAAGAATGTGATATGGTGCTTGTGATTCCGTTTCTCACTACATCTTGCTTAGAATTTCACTTTGCTTACTCCATTCTCTTGTATATGTGTTAAGATGGATTATCACTTCCACAGAAGAAAAACAGCAAACACTGCTCTCAAATTATGTCTTTAACATTTTTTTTCATGCCTAAGAGATACAATATTAAAAGATCTAGGGATTAACCAACGTGCTCCAAAAAGACATGAAGAAAGCAATTATTTACTGGTTTAATATCTAATCTACCTGTTTATTAAAGACAACAATTTTGAACTATAAGCTTCTGCTTAATTCTTACTTGTGACTTACTTCCTTGGCTTCTAACAAAGTTAAATGAAGTCAGTGACTGGAGTAGGGTTTCTACATTTTCTGATAATAAATTTTCATAACTATATGGGAGAAGAAAGTTCCTATTTACTACTGTTACAGATCACTTTCTGTCTCTGGAAAGCTTCGGTTTGGTAGGCCAGCACCCAGTGATGCATTTTAACAATCACTGAGCATAAAGATTGCACACTTAGTTGAATATCAATACAAAGAATTACTGAACATATCGGCTCTCCTAGAGTAGATGCCAATATTAAAAGATGGGAAGTATGATCTTTAAAGTGTGCATACTACAGTTACGTTTCAGTGAAAGAAACTGTATTGTCTTCAGAGCTCCAAACCTGGTCTCTTTTCAAGGGAACTTCAGAGGTACAGGTGAAAAAATCTTTCAGAATTCACTTGAATCCCTTCTCAGTAAGACAGGAGACAAGATTAATGAAGAGTGATTCTAAATAAAGTCTGACTAGTGCAAGACTGCATTGCTGAGACTCATAGTGCATGCATGAGTATAGCATATTGTTGAGGATTTCAGTGCTACAGTGATGGAAGAAATAGGGCATTAGTCCTGTGTTTTGCAAAGCTTGCGCACCTGTCATGTCTGTAGTTGTAAGCACATCTGGATGTCTGCTTGTGGATTGCTCTTCCTACTGGTGACTGACAGCAGAACAACTTTGGCTTTTGATTTGAGTGCAGGTATATGGCTGTCAAATATATCAAATCTTGCTTTAAAAACCCAAAACCTTCTATTTGGCTCAAGTTCTGCTAAAGCATGTAGAAGGACAGGATATAAATAAACACAAGAATATCAGGATTTTCTAGCAGTAAGAGTTTGGATTTGTGACTGACGTTTTTCTTTCCCTAAGAAAAGCCATTCAAATATGGAGAGAGGTATTCAACTCTTGAAAACATTTAAACCTACTTATATTCTCCTGATACATTACCAGAACTCTAGTTTGCCCAGTCTTTCAAGAATCATTTGATTAGACATGTGCTTGTCTCCCTATTAATTGATCAGTTTTAGCTGTTGTATGCTTACCCAGGGATTAGCATGCTCAAAATTATATGATTGGTCTGAAAACTCTATATTTCTTGCTGCTTAGAATATGCACATTGGTGACCTAAACATGACTTTGTATACTTTCCCTCTTAGGAAGATGGAAATTGAGTCTCTTGCCTCTGATGCATGATGGAGTCAACAGTGTGTTTTGACAATATTGCTAGTCCTAAGCAGCCAATGCCAAGAAGTAAACCTATGGCTTGAACAAAAGCAGCTATCTTATGTAACCCAAATAGGCACTGATAGAATAGTATATGCCTGTGTTGTAGAATAATTCTGTCTCCTTCAACTGCTGCCATTCTGAACCAATGCCAAGGTTTTACTTGATGTACAGTACTTGCTGTGCAATGGGTCAGTTTCCTGCAACTCCCTGAGCTGCTGCAAGGGCTGTCTTACATGAGTAGCCAGAGGCTGTTCTCACATTAGTAAGATTTTATTGCCTGACTCCTTAAGAACACTTTGGTAAAACTGACACCCCTTTTGAGTGCGTGCTTTGTACTGGATAGGTCTGTGAGATTCCATTTGTGTGAGATCAGCCAAACATTCCAGTTCTGAGATTCAGATCTTTGGTTGTTATGACCAGTGATTTCTAGAAAAGTTTGCAGCAAACAGAACTTTCCCTGATACCGCGCAAATATTCTGGATAATGACCCTTTGAACAGGCTCTTAAAATGGCAGTTCTTGCTACAGTCAAACAAAATGTAGACCAATACTGCCTAATAGATGAATTCACGCTGGGAGCATAAGGTAAGGTCTAAATGATCTTCAGCATATCCATGTGTATTTCACTGTATCTCTGAAAAATAACATTGAACTCTGATAGTCTTCACACAAGGAGCTGGGTGTTTTTCAGCAAACCTGTTACTATAGAGCTGTTGAAAATTCAGTTAATTTCACTTTGGGAAAGAGAATGAAGTAAGCAGAACCATAAGTTGTTTATGTTTCCATTTACTGAAAATTCATTATGTTACCAAAAATGATATAGAGAACTTATCAACACCAATGTGATCTAGATAAGCAGACACTCCTTTATTAGCAGCACTGGGTGCATAGGGGAATTGTCTCACCAACGACACACACCTAATTCGTATAACATGCTGATTATATAGAATACAATAATACATATTAATCAAGTGCTCATACATAAACATGCTAATTCCTGTAAATCATTTTAGTATCCGCGCCTCTTTCTGGTTACGTGCACAGAAGTCCTGAAATGAGTCTGGGGTATAATAAGAGTCCATGGGTCTGTGGTCGTGATCTCCCCCTGTTGGAATTAACCTTTTCCCGAGTTTCTTTGTAACTTGGCAGACATAGGCAGGTTGTTACAGTTCATTTTCTCTAATTTCTATTAATCTTACCTAAGCTTGTACCTTTTGACATGCAAAACAATAAAGTATTATTTCAAGAATAATAATTATTGAACTATGTGGCCCATGCAGTCTTGGTCTGAGATTTTTACAGATGAGCTCATAGCAGCATAGCGGGTTACATGGTTTCACAGTGTTCCGTAGTTACTTAAAACAATATGCAATTATTCTCTGTGTTTTATAAAACTAATATTCTTATAAAATTCTATTAGATTATTTAATCCTGATTATTTCTCATCATAAAGTCAAAAATCATCCACTTAAATCAATAACAAATCAATGGCAATCTGTAACAATGAGAGCTGATGGGGTCTTTTCAACAGTAGTCTGTTAAAGATTTTCTGTTTTTTCAGTATCCTGGGCTGCATCAAGAGAAGTGTGGCTGGTAGGTTGTGGGAGCTGATTCTCGCCTCTACTCCATTCTCATGAGACCCCACCCACAGTACTGTGTCCAGCTCTGGGGCCCCCAACATAAGAAGGGCATGGACCCGCTCAAGTGGGTCCAGAGGAGGCCACAAAGATGATCGGGGGCTGGAGCACTTTCCATGTAAATACAGGCTGAGAGAGTTGGGGTTGTTCAGCCTGGAGAGGAAAAGGCTCTGGGGAGACCTTATAGAGACCTTCCAGTACTTACAGGGGGCCTACAGGAAAGATGAGGAGGGACTCTTTATCGGGGAGTGTAGAGATAGGAAGAGATCAACAGTTTTAAACTGAATTTAGATTAGACAGAAGAAAGAAATTCTTTACTGTGAGGGTGGTGAGACACTAACTCTTGCCCAGGGAAGCTGTGGCTGCCCCCTCCCTGGAAGCGTTCAGGGCCAGATTGGATGGGGCTTTGTGCAACCTGGTCTAGTGGAAGGTGTCCCTGACCATGGCAGGGCGGTTGGAACAAGATGATCTTTAAGGTCCAACCCAAACCATTCTGTGATTCAAGACAGTGCAGTCAGTCTTGTATCTAAGCAGTGGGGTGTCGTCTCATCCTCAGATTTGGTTAGTGCCTCAGGCCCTGCAAAACCTCCTTTTGTGGTGCTGAGTAATATGGTGTGTAAACAAAACAATAGTAGCTCAGATGAGGAGAAACCAAAAATTTCTTCACTGTTGCCAGGGAATGGTTTAGGATACTGTATTTCACCTGGCTTAAGAATTGCGGCACATCAAACACTGTATTGATACACTGCACTTGTTGACATTACCTATGACTGTGATTGCAAACTACACTGTGATCTTCCTCAGGTTAGTTCCAGAGGTGGTAAAACTGGGAAAATATAGAAGCTGACCTTGGTTATCCAAGATATGTGAAACTAGTGCAATAATGCAAGCAGTCTTGCTTTTCTTTCCAGGTGGTGACATGTACTAGTGATCCATTCACTTCCTATAGAGTAGATATAGTTCTGAGTGCAAATAATTTCTAATGTTAGGGACTTTTAGAGGTAAGTCAGTCTTTAACTTTGTTTTGGGTCATGTTCACAGTACGTTTCTGCTTGCTGTTAAAGGAGTGGCAAGCACTGCATTACACATAGCATTTTACTAAAACAAGTTAGACTAGTTCTAGTGTTAAAATACTTTTTCCTCTCTGATGTGCCTTTTATGTGCTAACTCCTTTTTGTGGGCATGGGCAATATGACATCTTCTGTAGCTGCGTTTATCTAGCTTATATATAAACAGATGCTGTCTGGTCTTCCAGGGTACTTTGAAAAGAGGAAGATAAACCAATAGCTGGAAAGAGTCTATGATTGCATATAAATAGGTTTTTGACGTTGTGGATGATGGCACAATTTAGGCACAGTTTTAGTTAGTCCAGGATTTGACTTTGTGAAAGAGCCAGGAGTTGACTACAGCCACTGATAGACAGTCTTACGTGATGTTTACCCTAGACCCTCTGTTTAACCAGCTAGGCTCTTTCTGCTGAGAACTTTCCTGTAGGTGTCTGTCATTGTAGCAGGACTAATAAACGTAGCCCAGCAGTACTTGTATAACCAATCTGTAAAACTTGGTTGATATAAAATGAGATTACTTAATCTATCACTCTAAAAAAGGATACGTTAACGATACGAACTTTTAAATTTTTGTATTGACTTCTAATTGTAGCCTATGTAAATGCTTACCTGCTGAAAAATGGTGATTTTAATCCTCCAGGTAGTATTGTCTTGACTGCCTCTAACTAGATCAGTAGGAATCCTTTTTTGTAAAATAGAACTTTAAATTGGATTAAAGGACTCAATTTTTATCTGGTACAAAGTATTTTACTTGAGAACACTTGTTTAGGGTGTAGTTGACCACCCTTAAAATAATTCAGGTTTTGAAACCACAGTTTGAAGTGTGCTTATGCTTCTAATTGAGATCCTAATCTACTTTTTATAATCTTGTCTTTAATACTGTATCTAGAGAGCTCTGAGGCTGGACTGATTTAGAAAACTTGATGGAATTAATTATGCTGTATACTGCAATAATAGAGTAAAACATTCCTAAGAAAAAACTCTGTTTAGTAAGGAGAGTCAAAGGGCATTTTGTTCTCATTTGTTCTGTGCTATCATAGATAGCTGAGGAATAAGATTTTTGCCTAACAGGTTTTTAGTGGTGCAGGGAGCAATATGACTCTTTAAATAATGTCCTGGGAAACCTTGGAGATATCCACTGGTGGTGAAAAGAACTGAAGTTCTCTGAAGCAGAATTTGCCAAGGCTCATAACAAAACTTAATGGATGAGGTGTGTTTAATTCCTTCAGGAATTTCCTGTTCATCTATAACAAGTGTGTCTAACCTTTCTAATTGGCTTTCTTAGGGTGGTGAGCATGCTCGAAGGTCCTCTCTTCTTAACAGCGATGAACTGTTGATTTACTACTATGATGATGTGAGAACAGCTTATGATATCTTCCAGAGGGGTGTGCAAGTATCAAGTAAGTCTAAAATTAAAGATAAGTTTTTCAACAGTATGTTAAGAACTAAAGGTCTGGGCTTTTCTGAAACATAGTTGGGGATGGGGGATGTCTACCTACCAATATGATAAACATATTGGATCTGAGCTTTCTTGAAGGCAGATTTAACTGTGACCTCTTGTGAAGCAGAGTTGTGCGAATAGAGTCCAGTGCTGTGTTCCTTAGCCTAAATCAACTTGTTGCCTCTGTGTCCTTTCCCAGCTTCCCTCCCTGCTCCCCAACACCTACCACCCGCCCCCCAAAAAAAAGGTTTGTCTTCTGAAAGTGTCTGCAAAGAATCTAGAGGCTTAACACTGAGACTGTAGTTAGTGTGGTGTCAGGAATTAAACTTAGATAACTTTTTTTATCTTTTTTAGATAATGGTCCATGTCTAGGTGTTAGAAAACCAAACCAGCCGTATGAGTGGATCTCCTATAAAGAGGTAAGTAGTCTCTCTAACTTAGTGCTAGACCTGCTTTTGTTTGCTGAGACCATTGATACAACATCCAGTAATGTGATATAACAAATCTTAATTATTTATAATGTTTTAAAGGAGTAGCAGAATATTGCAGAAAAGTATTAGTTCCTATTAGAGTATCTTAAAGGAACAGCCTCAGATATGTGCAAGGGGGAGAAGAGTATCTCCTGCACTTGATTTATTAATGTTTTTTTTTCAGAAGTTTTTGGGTTATCTTGGCAGCTTTTAGCATCTCATTGCTGAATTGTTCAGAACTTGGACACTGCCTCTGAAGGACTGCAGCTTTGAAGCAGCATTCAGGGACTGACTGCTACTACTTGAGGTGCTTGCTTCGAAGAGGCTCAGTTTACACTGGGAAAAGTCCCATCTATAGGTGTTACTTGTGCTTCTTGACAACTTGTCTCCATAGTGCTGAATGGTGGCTGTATAAGGTGTTAACAGATACACTTCTAACTAGTAGCATTATTGCTAAAAATATCTTTAGGCAAATCTTTAACAGCTGTGCACTTTTAGGTCATTCCTGATTTAATCAGTTATCTTCAAATTTGCATAAACCTTGCCTATTGCATACTGTTAAGGTCATTAAACACCTTTTGTATGTAGCAGACTTCACTTTTTCCAAGGTGATTCTGCTGTGCGCTTGTTAGGTGCAACCTCTCTTTAATAAAGCTTTCCTCTTTGAGTTATCTGACGCACATGACCTGAATCCATGTTATATATGGAAAGAATTTGGAAAATTGCCTTCTGAAGCTTCATATATAGGACTAGCTGGGTGCTATTCCCATAGCTGCCCAAATGATGCAGAAAGGGGAATGTGTAGTGCTTGTGACTGAGCAGGAATATAATGCTGAATCATTCCAGGTTCACTTCTGTGGTTTAATACAGATAACACAAAACAGCCTTTTCTGTGTATGTGAGCTTAACATTTAAACCTAACGCTTTCAAGTCCAACTGGATTAAGTGTCTCCCACTACATACTGAGTGCAAGTGTAGTATCTACAGTCAGCACAGTGTAATGATGCTGCAATATTAGCGTTATCAAGGTCACGGAAGACATTCAAAATAGCCTAGAAAACTTCTGTCTACTTCATACCAATTATTGGCCTTCTTTTTCTAAGACTTAAGGTAAAATAATGTTGAGGGGTGTATACTGATGAGCTTGCTCTCAATTATTTGTCTTCTCTCTTTTGTCCCTCCAGGTTTCAGACAGAGCTGAGTGTGTGGGCTCTGCATTACTCCACCGAGGCTTCAAGCCATCTCATGTTCAATATATAGGAATCTTTTCACAAAACAGACCTGAGGTAATTTAGTTAACAGTGTGTGTATTGGTGATCTAGCTGTTACTGAAGTGGCCCACAGTGAGCTTCCCTACTTGGAATTCATTTGGTGTTGGGAAAAGGCTAAAATTGACATTGTACACCCCCAAACCACAGACATGGCATCTTTAGCCAAGAACCAAAACTGACAACTGACACAACAGTTAGTCTTGCATTGGTTTTTTGTAGGTTTTTTTTTTTTTTTTTTTCTCCCAGAGCTGAATGTAGAAGGCCGGAGAGCAGGAAGAGAATCAGGGAATCCAGAAGAACTTAACTCATTCTCTTCTCTTTCCAGTTTATAGAGGAGGCTTGTTTGATGGGAAGCTAATGCGGTACTTGATGAATGTAATCACCATTTGCTTTGCATTACCTTGTATTCCAATGTCACTTTTAAGAGAAAGTGGTTGGAAGTCAGAAGGAGGTATTAAAACCCTTCAAAACAAAAAAATGCATAGTGATTAAATATTGGGACAAATAGGAGATATCTAAAGGTGGTGGTTCTATCTCTGCCAGAGGCCCTGGGCACAAAGATTCTGTGAGGGAGACCTGCTGATGAAGACAGAAATTGAAAATCAATTGCAGTTTAATAAAGGGGCAGAAAGACTAAGGGAAGTGACATAATTAAAGAAGATCACCTGACAAAGCAAAATGATGTTATGAAGCTGAGACAACTATGGGAATACTTAAACTGATTAGCTAGTGTTTATCCGTTTTAACCCAGAAGTAATTCTAGATTGCTGTTTCTAAAAATACTATGAAATATTGTCAATATTTATTCTCTAGACTTGTTCATTAAGTCTACTTAATAGGACCGAAGTTCTCAAATCTATGTTTATGTGCTTAGTTGCTTGTGCTGGTACTTGCTGCATTAAGCTAGTTCAATCCAAACTTGTATTAAGATAGAAGACTGGTTCTTTTTGTCAAAAATAAGCTGTCCCTCTTGATTAAACACTCCCAGCTGGACGCCATTATCTAGATCCATCTACAGTGTTGACAGGGTTAGAAATTGCATCAGTGTCTTAGGTCATGCTGGATAACAGCTTGCTGTTGGATCTCTTCTGATTTCAGTTTGTCACTGCCTTCCCTGCTGTCATTAAAATCCAAGCAGTGTGACAAGTGACCTTGAACCTCTTCTTCCCTTCCCAAACTACACCACAAATAAACCTTACCTCTAGCCTTGTACAGATGAAGAAAAACTATTTTTTCCAGACTCTTAAATCTGCAGTAGTTTGCTGCTTGGATTTTCCTACTGGAATTTCGGTTCTAATAGCTAGTTTTATTTCTGCAACAAAAAAGGCTGGGATATTTCCAACTAGGAAGCTGTTAAATTACATGACTCTTCAGTTCAATCTCCTATACTTATAACATTATGAACGGGAAGTAAAAAAGGGAGCCAGATGTTAGTGTTGTGTCAGTTAGAACTATTTCTCTCTAGATGTTTGAGTGCAAAGTCTCTGACTGCTGGGTCAATGCATTTTTTCTAAAGGAGAGCATGGTAGTGTGGTCTGTTCTTGGATCAGAGACAAAATGTGCTTGAGTTGCACTGCTTCAGCAGGCTTTGAGTTGGGTCAGGAATGAGCTGGAAAGACTTGTTTAAGACAGCAATTTTAAATCTGGGATTTTCCCTGCTGAAAACTAGTGGATGGGTGTTGTGACATCCCCAACATAATTGCTAATCCAGACAGGAGATTATGTGAAGTTTTTTATGTGAAATGATTCACATTTGTCAGTTCTAGGAAAAGACTCCTGGGGAAATCCCCTAATGGGGAAAACCCTAATGTGTTACTTAAATCCAAGTTTAGGGCTTTTGTGAATATTTATAAATAAAAATATTACTTTCTCTTTGAGTAACTGGAAAACAGATAATTTCTTCTGCAAGCAAGGAAGTAATGTTTTGGATTGAGAAAATGGGACAGTGATACATAGTGTCCCTTAAGAGAAGATCAAAGCCATGTCAGGAAGATACATTGGAACTTTCAGACTGTTGTCTGTGTTCAGTACTAGCTGCTTGCTTGGGCTTTGGGAGAGAACTGAAGTGTCAAGGTTTGATATTTGCATTTAAATACTTTTAACTTCAGAAGCTAAAATTGAAGAAAAATGTCTTGGTAGTCCAGAAAATAAAGATGCTGGCTGTTTTATTGAGAAGGATGTGAAGAGTTGTTGGAAGCTGCAACAGGAAGCTTTTATTGCTCTGAGCAGCTGCTGAAGTCTACTGTAGTGGACCCCCACCCTATTAACTGCTAAACTTCAGTCTGCTGAACAGCAATACAGTTGCCCCCTTGTTACATATACAGGTGGATACTATCTAGGAAAAAATATTCAGTGGACCCTTTCATGGCTGGTCTAGGTATGCCTGCTTAGACTTATCAGCATGTCTAATGTCTGCATGAAAGTCTAGCTACCTGTTAGCTGGCCTTGTACCAGTTTTCTAAGAAATCTTTTTGGACAAGAAGAGTATAATTTACTTATTGCATAAATGCTTTCAGAGAGATTCCCTGCATTTAAGGCTGTCTCAGTCATACAGAACTTACTTTAGGAAACTTGGTCCTAATAAATGGTTCATAAAACTGAGATTTAGCAATGTTGTTAACATAGACTCAATATTAGATACTATGTGGAATAACCAGCTGAATGATGTTTAAATTTGTCATCATATGGGGATGAGGTAACTGGATGTAGTGTGTCCTAAGTGTCCTGCAAAAGCACTGGAAAGTGTGACAGTTTGGGTGTGGGGACAGGAAATAAGCACCCTTGTTAATGCAATCCTTGTTGAATTGTAAATTCTGATAACTTTTAAAGATGCATGTTGTTTGGTTCATGTAACTGGAACTGGGTAAAAGTACTGCCTTAAGAATTTTTGTCACTCTCTGATGGGGAAGAACTGAAATATTCTGGTTCTGCTGGCTTTTTCATGTTGGAAGCTCCCATTTCAGGAATAGCATGCTACCCTGTGTTTTGGTGTAGCTAGCTGTTTACAAACTATACCCAGTAGCTACCATCTGGAAGAAGAATTACATGACTATCTTACCTTGACCATACTTTGGGTGAAAGCAAGCTTGCTGTGAGGCATTGTCAGCTTGCATCACACACGATAAGGCTGTGATATCCATTATGTTTGAGTACTGCACTTGTTAGCAGGCAAATCCTTCTTACTGCAGCTTGCAGGGATGTAATGGCATTTTTTTATAAAAGTCTTCAGATTAGATTCCTTTAAAGAAGAATGGTTAGTCTTTTGAAATTCTGAGAAACTTTCTGGGGCTGGTTTTACAAAGGACTTCTAGTTAACTACATATGTTTCATGTCTGGCCATCAAATGAGATGCAGATAATGTAGAAGTAAGAATACTGTGTATGTAAATTTGATGTGTCAAGACATGAGCAAGTCTTTATTCAATTCATATACCATGGTAATACAGAATATTGAAGACTGGCTACCTCAGTAACCTAAAACGCAGAAAAAAGTACTGTACTCTTACTTAAAGTCTCTTTCTGTAAATAGGTAAACTAAGAAGACAGTTAACATTAACTGTTTTTCAGAAGTACTTAAAATTACTTAGATGCAGAGTGGAATTTTACTAGACTGGATTCTTTCCCATAGGTCCTTATTGTTTTTATTTTCTTCCATCCACAAATTAAACTTAGTAGGTCTTGGAAGTAAACAAATTATATAAACTGCTGCTTATTTTTTATAAAGACTTGTCCAAATGAGCTCTGTCTTATTAGCTTCTTTGTTAGAATCCAAATATGAGTCTCTTGGAGGTCTGTTACAACTTGCCTAGTGACTTGCATCTCTTCTTTTTGTGCAGTGGGTTATTATTGAACAGGGATGCTACGCATTCTCCATGGTGGTGGTGCCACTATATGATACACTGGGAACTGAAGCAATTACTTACATAGTGAACAAAGGTAGGACACTTCCAGTAGTTCAGCAACTGTATGTATGATGGCAGAGCTGAGTGAGGGCAGAACTGTAGCATTCTTCAGAAGTTTTCCATTGCCATGTTCTGAAGTATGTATGGATCTAGTCTGAACTTGTCATATTGATAATGTTGTTCTCCTTCATCAGCTGACTTGTCACTGGTTTTCTGTGACAAACCTGACAAGGCCAAACTTCTGCTAACAAATGTGGAAAAAGGGGAGACTCCAGTACTCAACACCATTGTTATCATGGAGTCTTTTGGCATGGATCTTGTGGAACGTGGCAAAAAGTGTGGGGTGGAAGTCTTCAGCATGAGAGAACTAGAGGTAAGCATGCTTACCCTACTTTACTGCTTTCAGCCTGTTTAACTGTGGAAGAAGACAGTGTCTGAACAGGTTTTTAGGACCGGACAAAATGTGGTAGGTTAGTTTCAAAATACTTACCTATCTCTTAGATTGAAGTTTACACAAAAAATATTTAAAAAAAAAAAAAGGGAAAACAACTTGCTAATTGTATATCACAATGCTCAAAACTTAAGTGTATATGCCAAGATGATAGAATGAAAGCTTGTTAATATAGTCCAGACTGAACATCAGATTTGAGTGTTAAGGCTTGCCCCTGTGTAACAGTAACATGATAATTATATACTGTGACTAATACTTCAGAAATACTTATTTCAGAAAGAACCTGTGTAGGTTTTAGTCATGCCAAAAATTGCATCTTCCCCTGTACACTGAATCCTCAAAATGTTTTCTGGGGGAGGAGAAAAAGGCAGTAAACTGTTTCTGGATAAGCTTATGGTAGTGCAGGGGAATGAGACTTCCAGCTTTTGGAAGTAGAAACCAATTTGTTTAGCCACCTAACAAGTCTTGGTTGTGCTTATAGTTTTGTCTGTAGAGATCTTATGCAAGTTTATTTAATAACTTCACTCTCACTCATTATTTGGAGAACTCTGTCCCAGGATCAAATTGCATAAAGTACATCATTACTGTGAGATCATGAAATCGGGTTTAGCCTGGTTCCAGCTGGAGTTCTGGTGAAGGCTTGGCTCACTAGGACTTGAATATCTCCAAATAAGTGTTCTTGTCTTGTGCAGGTGCTGGTAACTGGTGTGAAATACTTCATTTTGCTGAACTTGTTTTCACAGTAGTCTTTACTGCTATGTTAACAGGGCCACCTTCTGGTAAAGATGTGAAAATGCCAGCATGTCTTTTAAAAAGATGATTATATTGTAGCTATAATCTCAGCAAGACTGTCAGTTTGGGGCTAAAAACATTATGCAGAATGAGTGACTTATATAGCTCACTAGCAAAAGGGTTGGGTTAAACATAGAAAAAGATTGCCCCGCTGCAAGCTGATACGCTAAAATCAGCTTTTTTCCTTGAGTTGAACTCCAGTTTTTGGCAGAGGAAGATGCTTTCCACTGGATCTTCTAGCCACAGAAAAACAAAACCGGGGTGAATGTTATCTTTAAGTTAGAAGTTTAGATGCTTAATTAGTGACTTCCACCTGTACTTTGTAGCTCTTAATTAACAACACTTGATGTTTGGATTAATGCAGTAATAGATGCTCCAAGAGCCTTTTCTCTAAAATCTCAGAAGTTAGGCAAACAAATATTTCTAATAGTGTTTTAGTGAACAGGAATAAGTTTTGTCACTTTTTTTTTTTTTAAGGGTTAGATCTTTTAGTGTCTCCTGGAAGGCAACTATGAACTGTTTGGGAGTTTAAATTAGAATTGAATTACTATTTCTAGCTTTAAGTAGTTTTTTCCAGATTTCTGGCTTGAGTTTATTCCTCAGCTGTGTTTTATAGGTTATGTGACCAGTTCCTCTCTAATAACTAACTAATATCTGTGTGTATGCTGTGGCTACTTAGAGCTGAGTAGCTGTGAATAAATGGCAATTCAATAGGAAGACATGTTGGAGCTCAATTCTAGGAGATCAAAAGAAGTGTGTGGAGATTTTAGCTGTATATTCAGTGAATACCAAATTTTACTCAAAACAGGCTGTAGGGAAATATTGAGCTTCCAGTGCTACTTGAAATGCAGGTGCTGTTTTAAGCAGATGGCTGTGCTGTCATAGTGGCAAATTTTTGCATAATGGCACTGTTTCAAAAGGCCAAATTTACAAGTATGAGAATGTTACCAGACATTCCTTTTTTTCTTAAACCTATTGGGGTAATCTAAGAGGTACATCATACTAAAGAGAGTCTAGGGCTAGTAAAGGAATGCATGGTGCTATTGTGTACTTGGAATGTAAAGACAACAGTGAAGTTGGTGTGTCTGCCCTCAAAGGGTGATTCCAAATCTATACTTAACAAAAGGTCCATTTAAATTTGTGTAAGTCCTTAAGCTAGTATTGTTTCTAGTCTTAAATAGGCATGAGAATAGTAAGTCTTGATTTGAATCTTTAGATACTGAATATTGGCTTTCAAGTCTTTCCTCTTAATCGTTACATCCTTGATGATAAAAGGATCTTCTTGGTATCCAGTCTTTTCTGCTTAAAGAACTATGATGTCATTAATGGTCAGGCCTGAATAATCATAAGGAAGGAGAGGGAAGAAGAGGATCTGGAGGAGAGAATCTTGTACTTTCTACTCTTTACTATAAAAGATGTACAAACCACCAATGACTCTTCATGGGGAAGCTCAGTCTTCCTTCTCACCAGCAGTGATGTTGATGCGAGGTGCTTACTGAGATGAATCTTGTTTCATCTGTTCAGCAGTTGTCAGTGGCAGATGTCTTCTGTATGAGGAGTAGGATTGATTACCTGATGTGGCTTGTCATAACACTGTTTAACCTTGAGATTTTCTAATGAGTGACTTCTGGTTTACTAGCTGGGAAAAAACCTATGAGTTTGTTACCACTTTTGTACCTGTAGGACATGGTAGTTATTATACATATCTTTAAGAAGTCCTTTAAAGCCTCTATTACTCTACAATAGTTAAAAAATGGAATATTATGGTGTTTGTGATGGTTGTCTGGTAGACTTAAAAAGTTACATGCTCGTGTCTAAGCTGTCGCTCCCCCTTCTCTCCTTTCTGTAGGAGCTGGGAAGATCACACAGGCAAGAACCTATGGTAAGTATTAAATTAGTTCAAGTGACAATCTGAAGCTGGATAGCATTCTCTAGATGGAACTAGCAAATTTCCCTATTTCCCTTAGCTCAGCAGTCATACTAGTATATCAGTGTTTTGTGCAGTAAAATCTTTTTCCTTGCTATCTTAACCATACTAATATTTTCTTAACTCTCATAGCCTCCAAAGCCAGAAGATCTAGCAGTCATCTGTTTCACCAGTGGAACAACAGGTACACCTCATTACATTATGCAGAATTTATTATCCTGTATGTGCAAAAGTAATTCAGAAGCCATCCTTTTTTCAAGCCTCTCCCTTGCTGCTGCATCTTTTTGGCAAGTAGTAGCTGGGGAAGTTTTATGGTAAGGCTCCCTTTTGATTTTTCCCATTAATCAATACAGAGTTGCAGTACTGGGAGTGTGGAGGTGTTACATTTGTGGGCTTTGAAATAAGTACTGAACCTGTATTTCCATTATAATAAGGGCTCTGCTTCAGACTTTCAGTTATTCCATAGTATTTTTTTTTTGTCCTGTATTAGCAAAATTTGCTGCTTAGCTCTAAGCGACTGTACTGTAAGACCAAAAGAGAAAGACTGTCTAGATGTCACACTTGACATTTGCAAGTTAATATCCAACACTGGCAGGGAGCAAAAGGGAAGAGTATAATGGCAAGATATGCTTAAAGCAGATGAGAAAACAGAAATTAGGCTGGCTTTGATAGATGCATCTTCATGGAAGTGTTTAATTTTGAATGAGAAGCTTATCCAGGAAACATGACATTTTCTTAAGGATTTGCTCTCCTTATGAAATTTGAGGACATTGCACAAACATACTACCTAACTGTTACCAGCTATTCTTGGAAGTGTTAGGTAGTTCTCTACCTTTGTTTAATTGATATGTGAAGAAAGGTATTAATATCAAAGAAGGGACTAATTGATTGAAATGCTATTAGATTAGTTTTAACACTACTTGGTAACTTAAAGGATTGTCCTGTTTCAGCTCGGTTAGGGTTAAGTTTCTCCCAAGCAGGGGGAAGGGCTCTGCAGCGGCTGGCAGCAGGGTGGGAAGCTTTTCTTTGTGGCTTTGGTTGAGGAAGCACATGTGGCAGGCTGGCTCTTTCACTGCAGTGTTTCTCTGTATATCTTTTGTCTTGTTTACTGTTATTACTGTTTATTGTTGTTGTTGTTATTGCTATTGTTCAGATTGTTATTTATTACACTGTTGTATTAAATTTCTCCTTATTTTAACCCGGGGTTTGTGGCCCTACTTGGCCTGAGGGTGGGGGAGAGACAACAGCAACGTGGTCTCCGGTCCCAACAGGGCTTAAACCAGCACAAGGATCTAAAAATTTCACTGTTGCATACTGATGTGCTTCTTCCTTAGGAGACCCCAAAGGAGCTATGATCACTCATCAAAACATAGTCAGCAATGCTTCAGCTTTTGTGAAAACTACAGAGGTAAACTGCAAAGGTTAATGTTGTGGATTTCTGTGAAGGGAAGAATCTCGGGAGTAAAACCAACATCGAAATCTCTTTAACTTTGGTCTTTATTTTTAGTAAGATCCAAGTGAAAAAGTAACTTGACGGCATTCTGCCCATGCTAGGTCAGAAGTCAGTGGTTATTGGTTTCTTCTCTCAGGGTCAAGAACCTGACAGATTTACAATTGGTCTGATCCAAGCAAAATGTTATAAAGATCCTGATGGAGATCTAAATTACATTCTGTCATAGGCTTATAGTGTTTGTCATTAGCATGAGCTCTGTATCAGAGGGTTTGTGTAGAGCCTAACCTTTTTCTCTGAGGATGGGAGAAGCTATTAATTGTTTTAACCCCCCAAAATACTTTAAGCCCTTGCATAAATGAGCAAGCAGCATGACTCTATTTTTGTGGTACAGTGTTAACTTTTAGTTTACAGTAGACTACTAAAGGTCATCTGCAGGCTAGCTAAGACAGTTCTAACACATACAGATGTAATAAAAAATACAATTTCATTTATTTTTCCAAGTATTCTGCATGTAGAATTGTTTTTCAAATTAAGCAACTGTGCTCACAATTAGATCATGTAAGGTACTTCTGGTATGAACTTTATGGTAAATTGGATAAGCAGACTTTCTGATCTAAGATGAAAGTGTGGCATACTACTTCATATACTACTAAGGCATACTATTTTAACTGTTTTTGTTCCACCTCATTCCCAGTGTATATAATGGACCTTTCTTTGGTTTCTATCAGACTTTGTTTCTATTCATAATTGTATGAATAAGTTGTAATAATCTGCTCACTGTACTCATTACTGTACTCATTTCTGCAGTGTGTTTACTCATGCTAAAGTTATTGCTGCTGTCTTTTTAATGAAAAACAATGAAGCTTCATTGCAAACAACTGAAGCAAGGACTATGCTAGTGTTTAGATACTAGATTTCATTGTGTTTAACTTGGGCAAAATAGAGAATCAATGAGAATTAAATTAATTTTACTAATGCTTTCAGAAAACATTTATGCCTTCCTCTGATGACGTTCTGATATCATTCCTGCCCTTGGCTCATATGTTTGAGAGAATCGTTGAGGTAAGCATCTGTTTGTTGTAGTGAACTATAGGGAAGCTTGCTTTTCTTACAGAATGTATGTCTCTTGAATCCCAGTAATACATGCCATTCCTTTTTTGACTCTTGCACATGTGTATGAAAGCTTGAGGTAAAGTTCAGGAAAACAGTATCTCATAAACAATATCCGTTGAGTCCTAGACAGCTGGCTTTCATGCTGAAATGTAAACGTTAACCTTAGAGCTAGGATTAATAAACTGGTGTACTAGAACCTGAGACAATCCCTTAGTGTGCACACACTGCCTAGAAATTCCCTCTAATATAACCAGTTCACTATGAATTCATGCCATTCTTTAGTCTGCAGACTTTACAAATTTATTTTATAATGTGGCATCCTGCTTGCTTACACAAAACTAATTTTAAGTTGGCTAGCTTTACCATTTCTTCCAAGAAACTTCAGTAAAAGGAATGGATTTTGTTTCAGTGGAGTTCTCTTCCAGGAAATGAAAATGGCTTTTAGTGCCATATAGTGACAAACCTTGAAGTTCTCTTGGATAGCTTGTTTTGCCATATAGCAAAACATGGGGCTTCATTTTTGAGGATGAAGGGGCTCAGGTTGTCTTAATACTGTCAGTCTTAAGGACCCCTGAGCCCATAGTTAGGTGGTATGCATTACTGAAAGGGTGCAGTTTTCTCAAACTTCTTATATAGAGGCATGGGTATTTCATTATTGTACTTAGTAAAGTTGAATTAACACCTCTCCCGTAGTTGAGATTGCAGACTTCTGTTGAAGGTAGTCATGTCCCAGTTTATGTAGGGAGATAACAGGCTCTGTGCAAGTGTGAAAAGGCACATGGACTCAGGATTTCAGTTAGGAGTCCTGAGCTTTCTATCAAAAGTGTGTACATACACATACAAAAATGTATATATGTATGTTATGAAGACTGGGAATAGAGCCTAACTGAGGCGTACAGGTGCCCTTAGGCTTTCAGCACTCTTTCTCCTGGTAGCCTGGATACCAGTTACACTTCAGTGTCTGTTTTACTGATGCCTGTCTTGCACCAGAAGGTACAAGCTCTGTAGGTACAAGCTCTTGATCTTGCAGTAGAAACAGGATGGGAGCTTGTGTTCAAAAGGATAAAATGAGAAGAAAGTGTTTGGATCTCAGTATTCTTCTGCTGTTTGAGGTTTTTACAAAGTAGTGATTACTTGCTCAATCTCCCTGTGTTCTATACAAGAACACTTTTGGTAGAAAGGAGAAAATATTTACTGTTTGGGGTAGGTATGAACATAAGCTGTGTGAGAAGCTATCTTTAGAGACGTACCCCCGTTGTGAAGTTGATGCTGATTTTTGGCTTCCGAAGTTAGAGGGTCAGTGAACTTGACAGGACAAACATGTTCCCGCCTAGCAAAGGCAGCTGCTGCTCAGTCCATCTGGACTGATGCATTTGCTGCTTTTTAGCAGATGGTGACAAAGCACAGGTGAAAGGGAGAAGCAACATTTCAGCATGTCTCATGCAGAAAAGATAAGAATGGATGGCAGGGAGTGATGGAAGAGGTGTTATGGAGGAAGCAGGAGTAAAAAACAAAGGTATAGGTAAAATCAAGAAGAGTAGAGATGTTAGAATAAATTAAACCTAAACAAAATAGGAGAGAAAGGGGGTGTATAGGTGTGGGGGGTGTATAGGTGTGGGGGGTGAAGCTTCTAGACTCTTAGAGAATGTAGAACACAACAGGATTAAGTCTGCTTTCCTTGGTGTAGGTCTGAAGTTATGTGGAAGTAAGCAGTGGTTCTGCTAGAATCTTCTAAAGAGTGTTTTGATCACCTAACAATAAATAAGTTCTGTGAAACAGGAAGGAAAACTGGAGTGCAAGAGAATGGAAATCAAGGCAGAAATGCCTGCTGGACAAGCAAATAGAGTGTACTGACTTTAAATGCAGAATTTCTTAGCATATGTCAGGGAACAAACAAAGGTCTAGTATTTTTAGATAAGCTTGTTAAATACTTCAAATAGAGAAGTTCTGCTTTTCAGTCTTGCTACCTCTGAGTCACTGGCACTGTCTTATTTGTCCAATTGCTCTTTTTGGATAGGGGCTTTTGTGCTGTATCTTATTCTATCAAAGTTCTTGGCCTCTATACACCAGGCATGTCTTGCTACTTGGTCTTTCTAGTCCCATCCTATAATCTGAGAATGCTGCAGAAAACTAGTCCAGAAGCTTGAGAGGATTTCAGGTAGATCCTGCATAGTCCACTCTGCATAGGATTGTTATACCTATACAGCCGGAACACATCATACGTCCTGTGTTTTCAGAGTGTTTACTTTTTTCTAACAGTGTGTGGTTCTGTGCCATGGAGCTCGGATAGGATTCTTTCAAGGGGATATCAGACTACTTATGGACGACCTAAAAACACTGCAGCCAACTATATTTCCTGTAGTACCAAGACTCCTGAACAGAATGTTTGACAAGGTAAGTCCACAGGCACAAGTCTAGACCTGTGCAGGGTTTTAAGAGACTTCATGAAGTTTGTGCTGCCAGGGTAGGAGTAATTGTTGTGCTCTGGTATGTTAAATTGCCATGGTAACAAATATGTCTATCTCTTTTAGAAAGAGTTGAAAGTGTGGGGAATAGTACTGGTTGTATTGAAACACTTTCAGGCAGTAAATACTAGTGTTGAAATGTCTGACTAGGGATCTTGGTTCTCTTTAGCTTGATTAAGGACTTACTGTTTTGCTCTGTTCAAGTTATTTAAGTCCAGCCTACCACACGGACATGAAGCTTAGCATCTGCATGACACGTTTTTAGCATCTGACTCATGGAGTGGAATTTGCAAACAAAGGTCAGGTATTTGCCTATGCTTGCAGGGATGCATACGCAGGGAGAACTATAAATCAGCCAGTTGGGAGTGCTGGGGAGGTGTGTCTGCAGCCCCAGTCCCTCCTGTGCCTGCTCAGGGACCCCTGAGATGGGAATTCAGAAATGGATTCTTTCTTGGACTTCAGCTTTTAAATCATCCTCTTGCATATGGATGACTGACTCTTCGTAGGATGCAGCCAGAGGAGTTGAGGGCCGTAGTAAGTCCTGTGACTGCTAAAGAAATGGCAGGGCTGTGTATGCTGTCTTAGCCAGGACAGTGCTCTAATCATGAGACTAGAGGAACAGCAAGTAATACAAGGTTCTGTTTGGCCCCAGGAACAAATAGTGCAACTCGGATCCATTTGGAGGGGAGGAAATCAGCCTGTAGTGCTTAAAACATAGCCCCTTGTTCTGCTCTCACAGTCTGTACTGCAATTTGAGAAGCAGAGCCAAAGCCGGGGACTCTTCTCCTTTCATGATGTCCACTTGTTTGTTAACTGTGGTGCCCTGAGGCTTTCACACTTCTGTGGCACTGTTTCAACCTCACCCAGGCTTGCAGTAACCTACCATGTGAAGTTAACAAGAGGGAAATTGGTTGTGATGGGCTGGATCTTTCTCTTTCCAAGTGAACATACTAATCTGTGGTCTGCTCTGTGGCTTCCTGAGAATAACTAGGAGGAGCCTTTGAAAAATTACCTAAAAAGCAAGTTTATATATGCAAGACAGATCTCATTTAGTGTTTCTGAAGGGACCTGCATCTCCTCAGAAAGCCTTGTTACTTTTCATGTTATGATGGTGTGGTGTGCTTCTCCGAATATGCTGGGGATTATACTCAATTTGAATTTTGATGATGGTGGAACAGAAAATTAAAACATCAATTTTAATTCATTAATTTTAATGGAAAACTATACATTGAAACAGCATTGCACAGTATGATGGGAAGCAAGAATTAGTTAAGTGCTAATTTTGGTGGACATCTCTTGAACTGAGGTAGAAGCCAAAATCAAAATCTGCAAGTATTTCTTACTAGAATTAAGAATCTCTATGCATGCTTCTGTAAGAAAAAGGGAATGGTAGTCTGTGAGACTTCTAACCACAAATCATCTTTCTTAATAGATTTTTGGACAGGCAGATACTTCATTAAAGAGATGGATGCTGGATTTTGCTTCCAAGAGGAAAGAAGCAGAACTCAGAAGTGGTATAGTTAGAAATAACAGTTTCTGGGATAAAGTCATCTTCCGCAAAATACAGGTATACTGAGTCTAAATTTGCAATTGCTGAATTTCATATGAATGGTTATAATTTGGTATGGCTTTCGTCACTGATTAAAGACTACCTTGATACTCAGAGTAAAAATCAAAGCTGTCTTTTTATTTCTAACTCTCATTTTTCAACTCCCTTTGTTCTAGTAGTATCAGCTAACTGTATTAAGGAAGTTACTCTAAAACAGCCTGGGGAGTCTCTCTTACCACTTTGAAAGAAAACGCTGCCCTTCTGAAGGAGGAATGCTAAATGTGACACAGTGCCACCTGTAGCCCCCGCTTCTCCTCACTGTTGGTCACCAGCAAGTTATGCCTGCTATTATATCTGGCACTCACTTGCTATGGCCTTAACTGTGGTTGTACAACATGCTGCTGTGGCTGCTTTTTATAGCATTTGGGATGTACGAGAAGCTGATACAAGGCAGTTAAAAATAAAGTTATTGCTGTAAGGCCATGACTTGAGCTCTTCTGACTTTTGGCAGAGTCTGCATTGCAGCAACATCACAGCATAGTCTTTGTAGATACTGTATGGTTGAGATACTGTTTCTTCCAGCCACTAATGAGATTAAAAACACTGCAAGAAAGACAGCTTGCAATAGGAGACTAAACTTTAACATTTGTGGGTGGCGCTGTATGTGAATAGTGGCTGAGGATAGGATGGAAAAAGACTCTGGAAATCTCTCTAAAATGCTTTTGGTGTCCACAGTATCTTGTGTCTGTTGTAGGCAAGTTTGGGAGGAAAAGTAAGGCTGATGGTTACAGGAGCAGCACCTGTATCTGCAAGTGTACTTACCTTCCTGAGAACAGCTCTTGGCTGTCAGGTGAGTTTCCTGGCTTTAACTGTAAAACATAAGATTAATACCCAGTTCCATCTTTGATGTTGGAACATTTCTAGAAGTCTGATTATATGGATAACTTTCTGGCATTCTTCTTGGAGACTACACAAGTGGGTACTCCTTTCTAGATTTTTATCTCTCAGTCCATTGAGATTTCTGTATTCATCCCAAAGTCTTTATTATAACTGAAGTAACCAGCTGAACTTTCTTAAGGGAAAATTTTGCAGAGGGGGCTGCTATAAGCAATAATTAATGTTCTTAGATTAAGTTTCTGGGGCTTGCCTCATAGAACTATTGATAACTACTGTAGAGAACTTAATCAATGTGATGATACAGTAGTGGTGTTGTGTTGAAGGTTAGACTGTGGAGAATCAGACTGCACACATTGCACTTATTTTCAGAGCCTCTTCAAATACATGCTTTTTGAGGTAAAATCTGAACAACAACATCACGGGATGGAACAAATGGGTTGAAATAAATTTCAAGGGTAGAAAACGTGAAAACACTCTAAAGTGTGAGGCTGCTATGACTTCTTGAAGTTGTTCAGTAGTGTGCTGGTGTATCAATGCATTCTGCACAGAAAAGGGACACCTGTCTTGTATGTAGTAATTGCAGAGCTGTGATGGGGTATAGGGATTCTGTTCCTGGCTGCCTTGGACAAACCTGTTCTTAAATGATGTAAATGAAGTTACTGCTAATGCCACTGTACTTAGTTTTTTCTTATTGCTCCCTCTGTTGCTTTTTGTTTTGGTATATACAGGTGTCACGTAGCATGTGAAATTGAGTGAAACTGAGTAAATGTTGGAACTGTAGGTGGAATATTGGCACTTAAAATTGTGTATTGTGATAAAACTAATATAGTGATAGTATTTTTATAAGATGCTGGGAATTTTGCTAAACTCAAATTTAAACAACTAGAAAAAGAATTAAATATTACTTTCATTTTAATAAGAAACTGTATGTTGAAAAGTAAGAATCTTCTGGTTTCACATCCTAGTTCTATGAAGGTTATGGACAGACTGAATGCACAGCTGGATGCTCACTGTCATTACCTGGTGACTGGACAGCAGGTATGGTGTTTAACAGTCTGCCTGTCTGTTAAATTTCAGGATGCTACAGAGTCTGATCACATGTAGTCTTCAGTAACATCTATCATAAAATATAAGATTCTGTCTTTCTTCAAGTGAAGTTTTGGAGGGATCCCTTTAAGTTTCTGCTGCTAAATAGCTAGTTCAGTAATCCAAACTTAATAGGCTTTGTCCTTGTAAGTTGAAGTGGATTTAGGAAAGGGGAGGTCATACTATCAACCGTTGTAATATTTACAGAATATAAGTCTGCTGTATAAAAAACACAGTGTTGGAAATTTAGATGGAATTTTTCAGTGTTGGAACAGTCTGCATTTCTGTTGGCTTTTATATTTCTGGCTTCCTAACTGAAATAATACTGATAGTTGAAACTATAGTGGGACTTCTGCTACTTAAATACATCAAAGGAGAGCATCCTAACTACAAGAAAAAGCAAGCCTGAGTACATGGTATAGATTGTACCATTCTAGGGATATCAGAGAATGTTCCAGTCCCAGCAAATTTTAAGCTATTACTGTACTGGTATTGGTGAAGTACATTAGCAGAAATCAGTTTTCCATCTTTTTTTACTTTTGCATGTAGCTAGCTTACTGTTTTAAGAACCTAACTTTTTTAAAAAGGAGTTCAGGCTGTTGAAGTGTTACTGTATTTAATAGGTCACGTTGGAGCACCCATGCCATGCAGTATCATCAAGCTTGTTGATGTACAAGAAATGAATTACTTGGCTGCCAAAGGAGAGGGTGAGGTAGGTAATTTCAAAAGGTCTATGTGAGCCTCTTATGAAATCTTGGAAAATTTTTTTTGTTCCTGAAATAATTAACTGTCCGAGTTTAGTAACATGGCCTGCTACCAAAAAATCATTGCCTGCATGCAATGTCAGATAACTATTCACAGAAGCAAACCAGACAATAGTGTATTGAGGGAAGAAAAAGTGGATTACTGAGAGATAACAGATTACTGTGTGTTTATAGTTGTATGACCAACATGCCATCTTCCAGTTGTGGGATAGCTGAGAAGCTATCTGTCTCGTGCTGCATTTATTCTTCAGTAAAATGCTAGTAGAGGGCTTCCCCCCACCCCTGCTGCCAAGTACTGGTGAACAGCTGATCCATGTAGTTTGTTACCAGCTTGTAATCTGTGAGATGAAGTAATTTAAAGTGCCTGGAACAGTGTTAAGAGAAATGGACATAAAATGCCATGAAGGCTGCTAATGATTTGACAACTGTCTGCACATCCTTCTGAACTCTTTTCTACAGCCTGCACTAATTAAATGTGTATGTTCTACAAATTGCGGACTCAGCTTTGTATGTAGTGCTATATACTGTCTTTTTCAATTTTTTTTTTTCAAGTAAAATATATACAGCTTGAACTTTGTTTTGAACAAATGTCTATGTAGTAAAAGCCTCGACAGTAAATTAATGGTAGTGTCTTTAATATGCTTTCAAGAGGCCTTGGGGGCAGCTGGCGGTAAGAAGTAAATAAATAAAAGTGGCTTAAGCAAGTAACTAATTTGTGACTGCAAACAATATATAATGATTATTTGTTTTGGTTGTAACTTGTATGAGACTAGAGACAAATCATTGGGCTTTAATTCCTAGAAATACTCATGGATTTAGTTGGGCTTGGTAACTGTTTGCAAGTGGAGAGCAATGTCAAGATTCTTTCCTGTCTTGCATATGACTCCATGTTTAGTCTTCATTGGCAATTTTTCCTCAGTTTATACTTTTAAAGCTTGGTCTGCTAGAGGAACTGTGTATAAATGGGAAGCAGTTGAGTAGTTTTTAAACACTTCTAAAAATGTTTTGCTTGCACTTACTGTTTGCTGCATTGGGAGTTACTCTGGACCTGAATAAATATGGTAGCCCCTTAATGTATCAGGTACTGTCTTAGTCTTTCAGTCCTTCCTCAGTGTGAGCTATTCTGAATTTAACAATAAGTGTTGTAACTCATTTCTCATAACTGAAGCCCATAGCTACAGAATTGGCTGTCATCATTGTTTGCCAAAAATAGGTGGTCCTCTTCATTGTCTATCTGCTCTTCAACTGGATTAACACTCCTAGTCCTCTCTGAGAGTAAGCTTTCAATATTCTCTGTTCTGTCAGCCTTGCTTTTCACTCTTGCCAGTTATCCATGTTCAAGAAGGATAAATTTGTGAATAGAATTATATATGCTCATATGCAGATGAGGTCTATTAATGCCTGATGACTCTTTAGCCAATTCCTTGTCCACTTTAGGATTGTACTAATCCCCTAGACTAATAGTTGGCCTAGTATTTTATCAGCCCCTATTGATATTTATCATCCCTTTGGTCTTAACCTAAAACTCGATTTTTCTATCCCATTCTTCTAGTTTGTTCTAGGGTCCTGATACTATTGCCCAGACCCTTTGTATTGTTTCATGTCAGCCACACATGGTAAGCCACTCCCAAGCTGATGGGATGGCTCAAATCTGTTATTGCTTCTGAGGACTCTTGTGTAGGGAGGGCTTTTGAGACTCCTGATTCCCCAACAGTTATGCACAGTGGGCATCTTTAAGCTTTGTTTCAGTATTGATTATCTTGCCTATCTCTCTCTGTCCTCACTTGTAAGGAGGTATTTTATAGTTCTGCTGTTCCTTAAATAATAAGAGTCCTGTCCTGTGTGTCTCCCCTCTCACTACCAAAGAAACTTAAACAACCTTGGGTGTTATATTGAGAAGAAATTACTTAAGTCTGGAATCGTGTCTGGATATTTCAGGCTCTACTCCATGTTCCTGACTAGTTGCTTTACTTTTATGTTCTCTTACTGACAGATCGTCTACTAACTATTTTAATTTTGTAAGGTCTGACCTGATTCTCTGGCATCATCTTTCTCTCTAAACCTTTAATCTTGTTAGTCCTTTTCTCAAACCTTGTAAGCATGTTTTTTTGATCCTAATAATGCCTATGTATCCAGTTTTATCCAGAGTAGTTGTTCTTGGTTTCGTACTTGGTACACAAATCCACACAACCTTTAGTTTAAAGAAATTGCAGATTTCCTTTATAGAGAAATCTTGAGTGCTCTAAGCCCTAAGGTGTTAACTGGTTCACTTTTGGACAACAAACATGTAATTTATTTGATAAACAGCTTTTTCATCACTAGTTTTAGCACAATGCCCCTGCTGCTTACTGAAGCTGAAACAAACATGTTGCCAGGCTGAGTGGTAATATTTCTGGATCCAGCAGAATTTCTTCAGATAAATAAAATTTCCTCCGATTAAATTCAGGTTATTCCATTAGCAGGTAGGAACACTGCTGTTAGACTAGAAGACAGATGCTTCCAATTGCTTCTTAGTATACTTTATACCAATGGAAAACATTAGGTTTCCAAAAACCACAAGTAGAGATTTCGGGCATAAACTTTGTCTTGTCTTTTTAGTGGGAGTTATTGAGAACAATTGGAGAAGCATTCATTGCAAAGAGTATGTAACTTTCTTCCCATTATGGTAGCATACATTAACAAATGGTTGTTTTCAGGTGTGTGTAAAAGGGCCAAATGTATTTCGGGGCTATTTGAAAGATCCAGAAAAAACAGCAGAAGCTCTGGACAAAGATGGCTGGCTTCATACAGGAGATATTGGGAAATGGCTACCAGTAAGTTAACTTACATAGCTGAAATGTACTTCTGTAGTTATTAGCTGTAATTTTAATAAATATAAAATATTTTGTATTAAACACAATTAATTAGGTGAAAGATGAGTAATTTTAGGAGGAGGGTAATTACTGTTGTAGATAAATCTGTGTGCCTGGGGCTGAAGTATGAGCAGTGTCTGGGGCTTTCCCTAGTTTAGGTTAGATGGGTGCAGAGCCTGTTTCCTTCTTATATTAGTTTGACAGTACTCTGACTCAAGCACTATTTTACTGTACCAGTGTGGCATGCTTAAGCTGTGGAGATTGTTTTTTCACTTGAAGTGCCTCTTCTCAGTGAAAGTTACTTCTGTCAACAGAATGGTACATTGAAGATCATTGACCGGAAAAAACACATATTTAAACTAGCCCAGGGAGAGTACATTGCACCAGAGAAAATAGAAAATGTGTATTTGAGATGTGAAGCACTTGCTCAGGTGTTTGTCCATGGAGAGAGCTTGCAGGTAAGCATTCTTCCGGTAATTTTAAAAATGAATGCAAGAAGAGACTGCAGGAAAGTCTTCCTTTCCTCCCTCCCCTCACCTCAACCTTTGGGACTGAAACTTTTTAACAATACACACTATCGTTCTGAATGTACTTTGACTCCAGCAGTTATATAGCATGTCTCTGGATTTAGTTTCAGACCAGCTGAATTAATTTGAATTAAGTTGCTAACAGTGTGCAGGAAAAATAAAACCACCCAAACCAAGATGTCCAGGTTTTTACAAGTGTAAATTGAAATGTGGGTGTTAACAAGAGTAATTCTCTTCAGTGCAGGCTTCTGAACTGCACTCTGTTCCAGTTGCAAAAAGCAGCAGGATCAGAAATGCTGTCCAAAATCAACACTGACTAGTAAGAAATGTGTAGGAACTACAGTGTTGACTTTAAAAGGAAAAAAAAGAAAGCTTGACAAAAATTCCTTTTTAGGCCTTCTTAGTAGCTGTTGTGGTACCTGATCCTGAGACTTTGCGGAGCTGGGCCAAGAAAAAGGGGTATGAAGGCTCATATGAAGAGCTATGCAGAAACAAGGTGAGTCATATCTAACTAAACAGTTAGTTCTTCTGCATCAACTTCTTCAAGCTATACAATGCATTTCTGTATCCACAGGACCTCAAAAAACACATCCTGGAAGACATGGTGAGGATTGGGAAAGAATCTGGTTTAAAGTCATTTGAACAGGTAAGATACTTGTGAGAACAATAATTTAAACTTCTAAACACCAATATAATCTGACCTCTCCAGAACTGCTTTTCATTTATATCTGGAAAATTTAAGTGATGAGCTTTGTTATGATATCTGGGCAGTTTTTTAATAGCCTTGTCTATTTCAAGGAGTGCAGTTTGGCTAGTAACTGTTTACTTTCCAGGTCAAAGACATTGTCATGCACACTGAAATGTTTTCTATTGAAAACGGCCTGCTGACGCCAACACTGAAGGCGAAGAGACCAGAACTGCGAAAATATTTCCAGTCACAGATAGATGAACTCTATGCTAATGCCAAAATGTAACTGAGTGGAATGAGGAAAGTGGCACACGTCTGATGTCTACTGTTGGCCTTCATATCTGTAATTTTGACTACAGCAAACATAGGGAAGGAAACTGTGCAATCATTAACTTGTACAAAAATGGGTACTTGCCATAGGAACACTGAAGAAATGGAACACTGCCTTACTGTCAAGTTGTGTTGCATACTGTTTTTATGGTGACCTACAATTTCCAAAAAGAGCCTTAACTATAAATGGTAACTATATGTAAGTTATTTAAGACTTCCTTGGCCAAAAATGGGACTCTCCTTCAACAAGGAGCTAAGGTTTTCTTATTGTCAGCATGTTTGCTGTCTGCAGTGTTATTTCTGCAGCTGTCAGTTCCACAAAGGATTTGGCAGGTTTGAAAATGCCTCTAAGTAGCTTGCGTCCTCAGAAGGATTACTTAATCTGTTCAAAAAAACCCAAACCAACCCCCACCCCCC